TCGCGGATTTTTTGGAAAGCAATCACCACTTTTCGGAAGACCGCTTGCTGAGTCAGCGGATTTTTGAGAGACCGCCTGTTGAATTTTTTTCGCTCTTATCTTTTGCAGATATATTGCTGAATCTCTGAGGAATCGAGAACTCAGCAAGCGGTCTTCCGAAAAGTCCTGATTGCTTTCCAAAAAATCCGTGAGCGGGGTGCGAGAGATCAGCAATCTATTTTTCCGGTGCCCGCCTGCCCCCGGCGATTGTCTGAGCTATTACCAAAGGGCCAGAGGCAGAAGATATACTCCTCTGTTCGAGGCCTGGAGGCATGCAAAGTAGTACCTGTGAGAAGGTTTAGAAAGACTACTGGTAAGGAAATTTCTAGTGAACATGACAAATTCGCACTTGCATGTTTTACGGACAAAAATCCTTACACCTACATTCTGCGATTCGCAGATAGCGAACCTAGAGTTGAGAGCAGCGTATTAGGATAGTGCAGCACGCCCCATTTTCTTCTAAAGTTTCAGTGTAATAGGCCCGCAAAAGTTTTGAGAAGCGTCAAAAATTTTTAGAGTGCGTCTTTGCCACGCATCTTAATCCGAAAAATCCCCCCCCCTCTTCCACCCTTCCCCACCCCCCCCCCCCAACGAATCTTGGGTACGCTACTGATGTATAGGTATGTTCTAATCAGCTTAAATGAGAAGTGATTCAAATCAGACAAAACATTACAAAAGTTGAAAGTTTTCATGAATATTCTCGTTTGCATCAAGTCGGTTCACCAGAAACTTGTGATGGAGGAATCATGGGTCTGCGATGAACAATCCGCTCTCCTTATCAGCCTTGATCCTACTCAGATAATCGCCGGGGTCAGGCGGTCCGCAAACTCGCGCTTTTCTGCAAGCGGTCAGCAGAATTTTGGGGCGTGGCCAAACCTTCAGCGAGCGGTACTTCCTTTACTGTCTAATGTTCTGCCAGCGGGCAGCAACACAGAATTTTCTGCAGGCGCTCGTCAAATAATCTCTTTCAGCGAGCGCTGGTCAAATTTTCAGCTGACGCTCGGACGGTTTTAAAGCAGTTTCAGGCGTACGCCGAGCAAAGGTGAGACTCTACATGACAGAGGTGTCATCGATGGTTTAATTACTCAAGTTTGAGGTACTTTCTCTAAGCGGAAAGTACCTGGGGGCTGCGCGATCATCCACAAAGGACCGTGCGGCTCCCGAAAATTTTGCATATTCTCGCGGAAAGTCCGCGAGAATGCGGCCACTGCGCCGCAGCTACCCCATAAGAAAACCGCGATTGTTCTCCAAGCATTAGTCCAAAATTTCGCTAAGATTCTTCCTAATATCTGCAAGCGGACCGCAAGAAATCAGCGAACTATTTTTCCGGTGCCCGCCCGCCCATGAATCGCATGGCCGCCTGCCCCCCGCGATTATCTGAGTAGGCGCACGTCTTATGGTCAAGGTATTAAGTAGAGCACGTGCATTTTTGATTTGATGCAATCACACATCGCACGATTATATACCGCATAATATCGATATATTAGGTTTGTAATAAGTTCGTTCGCATTTTTTGTTTCACTTTTTTCTCAATGTTTTGCAAAGCATTTGGCAAAATGTTAGCATGCATTCGGAAGCTTTAAGTCTGTTCTACCAAAATGCTATTATTATATTTCCAATTCCCAAAAACGTGAACAAAAAATTCGATTACAAACAAAATCTGAGGAAGCAAAAATTCCATTTTCGACATCTTTTTTCCTTCATAGTCTTCCCGTTGTTTATTGTTAAAATTTATTCAAAAGACTTGACAACAGAAAACAACAACTGACTAATCACTTATGCGCTTAAAAAACTGTTTGTGATTGCCCACTTCTCTTCACCGACCGTTCAATGCCATTTTTGCAGAAGTCGGCGTAACAAGACTTTGCCGCAGCGGCATTTGCCGTTTCGCATACTTAAGATGTGTGTGTCCCCCGAACTTTTGAATAAATTAGGCCGGTGCAAAAGTTTTGTCAGTTTTTTCAATCCATCGGCAATCACGCTAGAATGAAGATAAACAAAGAATTCAAAATGCATGCGATGCAGAATTTCTTCCTCTTTCCAGCTGCTGAACTCCCATTGTGTTTCATTGCGAGGGTGACGAGATATTTGCTGCAAATTACAACCACTCGTTTTTACCATGTCCCACTTCGCTAATTTTCAAAATTTTTATATGAGACTTTCGAAGGAGCCTTAGGCTCCCGCCAGAGTGCCGAAGTTATGCCAGCGCTACGCCAGCATTTCGATCGATACACGTGTATTTCGTTGGGGACGTCAGCTAGCCCCGCCCCAACGAAATACACGTGTATCGATCGAAATGCTGGCGTAGCGCTGGCATAACTTCGGCACTCTGGCGAGAGCCTTAATAACCAGCAGATAGGGCAAACCTTTTGCCAACAGAAGCAATTTTTTGTAGCCCTACAGCTTGTCTTTCAGAATTTCTACGATTTATTTTTTGAAGTGACCAAGTTGTACATTCAGCCTATTTTGAACTCGTATAACATAAAATGTTAAACACTTTAGTCACCATTCGATGCAGATTTTTCTCCTCTTTCTAATACTTGCCTTTTTTGCCGAGCAGGCGAAATTTGTGGGGAAAATCGCAGTATTTCTCAATTTCAGGAGTGCGCACGAGCGTAAACCTATGTTTCAAAATCTTCATAATTTGAAGCGAAAATCGCTCATCTAGTTTGTAATGGTAGCGGTAGTAATAATCATGTGCTCTAACCTCAGTTTTCTGTAGGTTTTGCAGTGTTTGGTGCAATAACAGGTTATGCAATTTTTCCAAAACACAAGACTTTTAGAAAATTACTTAGCAAAAATCTGAAAAAGCAGCTGATAAAAAGGAAAAACTGCATAAGGTGGCAAAAAGTCAGCCCTGTCTGCTGGCTATCAGGGCTCCTTCAAAAATCTCATACAAAAATTTCAAAAATTAGCGAAAGTTGGACATGGTAAAAAGAGTGGATGTAATTTGCGCAAATATCTCGTTTACTCTGCAGCGATACACAATGGAAATTTGGCAGCTGGAAAGAGAAAGAAATTCTGCATCGGATACTTTTTGAAGTCTTTGTTTATCTTCATTCTAGCGTGATTGCCGATGGATTGAAAAAACTGACAAAACTTTGGCACCGACCTAATATAACCCATTTATTCGATGATTTAGCAGTCATAAACCGCATTGCCTTCCAATTTCTGGATTGTTCGGCTACCACTCTCCCCAAAGGTGCCTTTAGATTCTTAACGTTGACGCCGAAGAGACATAAAAAACATACCCTTAACAGTAGGAGTTTTTGAAAGATTTTAGCACTTATAAGTAATCTATGGGAGCTATAGTATTCTACTTATACACATCGCAAAATTTCCGAGCTGTTTCTAAGCGTTCAAACCCCTTCGAGACGCAGCGTAACATAGTTGTCAAAAATGAGATTTGCGCTCTCTCAGATTTTTGGTTTCATTTTTTATTCAAATTCTCAACAGCTGGAAATCTAGTGATGGTAGTTTGGTAGAATATTAGGTTAACAGAATTAATGCAGGTTTCAAATTCCAACCGCAATAAGTCATACACTTCTCATTTCTAAGTAGGTTGCAAAATACCATTCGGTAGAGCAAAGCAATCTCTGAAAGGCGGCAATCTTGCTTTAGCAACAACTCTGATCCACCACGAGTTTCGAGCCAAAAACTAAAGAGATTCAACTGCTCGAAAAATTGAGAAAAATCGTAACTCAGTTCATAAAAATCCTACAAAAATTCTAACTTGCTCACGTAACACTATTCACATAAGACATCTATACACGCCTCTGCCGTATTTTTTCTCTGTTAGAAATCAAGAAAACGGAAATTTTCGTGCGTTTGCCAAGGTGATGCTGTGCCGTTCCCACATAAGTAGTTGTATACTACAAGCCTGTAGAAGTATAAACGTGAGTTTCCAGCTCTCTACAAGGTTTAGTTCTCGAAAAATATCGAATAAAGTTTTCGCTAGTCATGTGGTCCATGCTAAAATCCAAATTTCTCGAGAACTTAAGCTTGTAGAGAGCTGAAAATTGACGTTTGTACTTCTACAGCTTTGTAGTATACAACTACTCCTGTGGGGGTACAGCATCACTTTGGCAAACGCACGAAAATTTCCGTTTTCTTGATTGCTAACAGAGAAAAAATACGGCAAAGGCTTGTATAGATATCTTATGTGAATAGTGTTTACTGAGCAAGTTAGAATTCTTGTAGGTTTTTTATGAACTGAGTTACGATTTTTCTCAATTTTTCGGACAGTTGAATCTTTTTAGTTTTTGGCTCGAAACTCGTGGTGGATCAGAGTTGTTGCTAAAGCAAGATTGCCACCTCATGGAAACTGCTTTGCTCTATCGAATGGTATTTTGCAACCTACTTAGAAATGAGAAGTGTATGACTTATTGCGGTTGGAATTCAAAATCTGCATTAATTCTGTTACAACCTAATAGATTTGAAGCTTCTGAATGCATACAAACGCTTTGCCAAATGCTTAGTAAGATACTGAAAAAAATTGAGACAAAAGTGCGAACGGACTTATTACACAACCTAACCTCGAGTCATTTGTAACTTAATGTGTGAAAATGCACACTATACCCTATTAGCGACGGCACCCATACTTGTAACTTCCCAGTAAAACATTTTCTAGTCCCAAAGTGTAGAAATCTGTTCTACTACCTAAAATGTAACAAAAACAAGAGAAATAAGGAAAGAAGGAGAAATCACAAGAAATGAGCATGTTCCAGTTTTGCAGTTCGTCAGTTAGCGTGTAGTGTGTGCACTAGGCATATTAAGTTACAAATGACTCGATGATAATAGATATCGAATTTGAAAAGAAAGTCAGGACTTTCATGTCATATGTGTCATTCGCTGTAGACTACCAATACTGTGCTTCCGCGGATGGATGGTAGAAAACTGTACTAGTTAGCACGAGTAATATTAGAGAAGGTATAGATGTTCTTGACAAACTGGAAACTTAGAAATGCGGCTCAACTCCACCCCGCCAACGTCGCCGAGTCACGTCCATTCGAGATGACGACAGCATTATTGAAGTCACTGGAAGAGTTGCTGTAGAAGACGAATCATTTTTGCATAGTTACGCTGCTCAAGGTTCGTGCTTGCTTTGACCTAATTCATCTCAGAAGTGTACTTTCTAAGGGAAGGAACGAAACGGAGTATTTCAAAAAACCTTCTTTTATTCAGTGTCCGCGAAAGAGCAAGCTACAGTGTGTATGTCCAGAGACATTTTGGCAGTTGGATCAGCAGTGTCCGTGACTGTATGGATTTCTACTCTTATAACTATAGCCTCTTTTGTGTACTCAAAACTACGGCCAACAAATCATAATGTTATATGAGATCTTTGTCATCAAATGATGCTATACGCGGGCAAAGTGATACACAGTTGCGGGACAGATAATTGTTATTTGAAGTACAGGCAGATCTCGTTTGTAAGCGATCTTCTTCGCATTTTTTGTAAATATGCTAAGTTACTGGTACACTAATTCATAAGCTTATTGAACTACCAATTTGAAAAATTTCCGGTTTTCGATTAGCTTATAAGATTACTTCTTGTACTTAAGAAGTGTTTTTGAATTATTGTTTGTTTCTTCATATAGTTTCAATTTTTTATGATACACTGGAATAAATAAATTCTTTGGACTGATTGTTGCATGTATGTCAATAAAGCTTTTCAAGCTCTGTAGATTTGACTACTTTAGCTGTTTTTTTTGCAACAGTGTTTACCCATCGTGATGCGAAATGGATCTCCACGTAGAGCTCCATTCTTAAGGGCATGGTCAGAAGCATAAACATCATGCACGAGAGGACATCTGAAACGAATAAAACAGATTCTTCTTGTTTGTTTGAGAAGCAACCTACTTTGGTAGTAACAGGAGTCTTCGGGAGAATATATATCAAGTCAAACAAAGGAAAGCGAAGCAAAAAGCAACAGACGGAAATAGTGTTAAAATTAGGTTTGATAGCTTTTTTTGGCATTAGCTTTTATTCACATAAGCAGTGCAAAACTTTCACACTAGTGCACTTCTAAATGTTGCTTCTATTCCCTTTTGCGCGTATGCACACTACATTTGGTGTCATATCGCTTGTTTGTTGTTAACTAGCCATTTCTCAAGCTGGAGCATGACCTTGCTGTGCGAGATCGTCCTAAAACATGTGGATGATGACCAGCATACTGCCCTCTTCCAGCTTTTAGTACAGTAAATTACTGAAATGCCTTATTACAATGCATCTTTGAAAGAGCAAATAACGTGTATCCTTTGCTTCCAACCTTAAAAAGATATCCGGCTTGACCATGCTACAGACGAAAGCACTGATCAGGGCACACCTTACAATCCAAAAGCATTTTACAATAGTAGATGATTAAAGCAAAGAAACTTTACAAATTTCTCTTCAGAAACCTCTTTCCATTTATCGTCCTCTTCACAATGTTGCCTTATCTGAATGAACTAGCCATGAGATCTACGAAAGAGCAATGTCGGAGTTGTAAGCACTATAAACAAGAGTGGATCACAGCAATTACGCGATAGAAGTTAGAAGGGACAAGAAAACCATATAATAATCGGATGTTAAGGCAAACAAAGTTAGCGCCTTAAGGCCCCGGGCATACTTCACGCGATTTGATCGTCGCGACTGAATCGCGACGAGACAACTGTCACAACATCATTCCATGCTGATCAACTTGCATTCGGTTGCGATACTTTTCCAGCCCGAAATCTTGGAATGTGAAATGACAATGAATGGAAATCTTGGCAATTAAATCGCGACGATTAAGTCGCTTGAAGTCTGTCCGGGGCCTAACCGCTATCGCCCGACTGGGGAGCGATATCTATCACAGTGGCGTACCGAGGGGGGGGGGGCGGGGAGGGGGGGCGCGCGCCCCCCCCCCCCCCCGAGAACGGGTCGCGAAATTTTTGAAAGTTACTTACATGCGTTATAAAAATGTGCAAATGACTTGTTTATTTTTGTAAACAATTAAAATAATTTTTAAAAATTTTTAAAAATTTAATATAGCTTTATAAAAAAAATTTTTTCGGGGGCGTGGCTGACGCCACGCCCCCCTTTTTCCAGATTTTAGGGGTTGGGGGCCCGCAAAATTGTTGAGAAGCCCCCCTAAAATTTTTTTGGAGTGCGTGGCTAACGCCACGCACCTTCATTTAAAAATTTTTTTTGCCGCGCCCCCCCCCGAGCCGAAATCCTGGGTACGCCACTGATCTATCAAACCTAACGGGTGGAGGACTATATGTCGCCGAATTCGGAAGAGTTTCGCGCGGATTCCCTGCAGGAACGCATGTCCGCGCATGTATACGGGTGCGCATTTGTCGCAAATGACCGCGGGGACCGCCCTTTTTCGGCGACATACAGTCCTCTACCCAAACCTAACTTGCAATTAGTGCTTGAAAAAGGAGAGCCAGTGCATTGAATTGATCACATTACAGAAGAACGTATACTGGCGCAAGAATTGCAGAACTAGAAGATATCGAAAATTCGTGAACCCGCACAAATACAGGCGAACAATATCTTGTGTGCAGACATTTTTGGGATAGTGGAACCAATGTGAAATTTATTCACAATTTCTACCAACTCCGTTGGTAAAGAACGAATATGTTATTTCATTTATTGCTCTTAGACACCGTGCCTGTTTGTTAGAGATAGTGTCTCACCAAAAATTAGTTGCCAAGATTTTTGCACTTTACTAGTCTATGTGACACTGTCTAACACGGTAGGAGCTTGAAACCGCATGAAGATCGAAACCCCTGTTTTCTGGAGGCTTCGCGGAAGCAATGTGAACGAGTTGTGCCTTCTAACTTCAGCCTCTCCCAAAGTGGCAGCAACACAATACTCAGATAATCGCCGGGGGCAGTCCGCGGTCCGCAAACTCGCGCTTTTCTGCAAGCGGTCAGCAGAATTTTGGGGCGTGACCAAACCTTCAGCGAGCGGTACTTCCCTTGCTGTCGCATGTTCTGCCAGCGGGCAGCAACACAGGATTTTCTGCAAGCGCTCGGCAAATAATCTCTTTCGGCGAGCGCTGGTCAAATTTTCAGCTGGCGCTCGGACGGTTTATAAGCGGTTTCGGGCGTACGCCGAGCAAAGGTGAGACTCCACATAGCAGAGGTGTCATCGACGGTTTAATTACTCAAGTTTGAGGTACTTTCTCTCAGCGGAAACTACCTGGGGGCTGCGCGGTTCTCCACAAAGGACCGTGCGGCCCTCGAAAATTTTGCATATTCCCGCGGACTTTCCGCGAGAATGCGGCTGCTGCGCCGCAGCTAATCTATTAGGAAATCGCGTTTGTCCTCCGAGCGTTCGTCTAAAATTTCGCTAAAATTCTTCCAAATATCTGCAAGCGGACCGCAGAAAATCAGCGAACTATTTTTCCGGTGCCCGCCCGCCCATAAATCGCATGGCCGCCTGCCCCCGGCGATTATCTGAGTAGGTGGACGCCAAGTGGGGGGACATGTTAAAACGCATAAGGAGGGAGCCCGGAAAAGTCGCACGCGCGTACCAAATCGCTCTCGCGTATTTTGAGGGAATTTTCCTCAGCGCAGAGAGGGTCAAATTGAGTGGGACTTGTTGCAATAACCTCTTTAGAGGGCCCTATAGTAGAAAGTATGAAAATCCGCGCCATCTTGATTTTAGTGAAACAATGCCTTTGAGAGCTACTCGTGACAGTGCATATTATTAGGAAGATTCTCAAACGCAGGAGATCTGTCTCATCCCTGTTCCACATAAAGATGTACTTATCATTTGTTTTCTTGCAAGGTACAGTCGGTTTCATCCCGGATTAGGCGAGACATTCTACGTGGAGCAGCGCATGCGCATCGCTGGAAGCTTTGCGAGCGCATAGCGCTGGCATTTTGCCAAACTAAGACTAAGAAGATTGAAGAGACGCAGACATGGGTTCTCAGTACGATAGAATATACTGTAGCTGCGAAACGGCGCGAGCTGTTGCGAGGCGGATCCCGCCAATCCAATTTCCGCCCAAAGCGGGTCGAAACTTACTGTAATTTCAGGTGCTGCACACCTAAATCACCGCCTTTCGCTCGTTTCAAAACGTCCGCTCAAAATAAGCATCTTAGATTGCTGGAATTGTTAACAGGAGTGAAAAGCAGCAAGCAAGCACGAGCAGTAGTTTCAGAGAATCACGCAGCAGCACAGACAATAGTTCTAGGGGGATATAAAAATGAAATTGCTGAGTTTTATCCAGAAGCAGGAATGTTTAATTGATAGTCAATTTCATTATCGAGCGGTAGACAAATCAGTGCTGCCATGAGGCCGACAGGTATTACGGCTTTTGATAATACTGCAGAATCCGCATAATCAATAAAATTTTTAGAATGTTCTATAGACGACATAGATGTTTCTAACTTACACGTTCCAAGAGCAAACGCCGTAATGAAAACGATGTATAATGTTCTTGGCAATCTAATGCGGCTCATGATAGCAGAAGTTTCTGATGAAACCGTTCAGGTAACACCTCTACAATTGTAAATCAGCAGCCGTGATTTGCGTCGGAGATTGACTATGAATCGTGCTTACTCAGACATTCGCACACGCCGGCGAGCGGCCGAACGGCCTTCCGACCGGCGATTGCTCCATGTATCTGGGCGGAACTACTCAGATAATCGCGGGGGCAGGCGGTCATGCGAATTTTGAGCAAGCGGGCACCGGAAAAATAGTTCGCTGACTTCTTGCGGCCCGCTTGCAGAATTGGAGGAATGTTAACCAATTTTCAGACAATGCTCGGAAAACTATCGCGGTTTTCCTAGAAAATAGTTGCGGCGCATTGGCCGCATTCTTGCGGACTTTCCGCGAGAATTTACAAAATTATTGAGTGCCGCGCGGCCCTTTACTGAGGACCGTACAACCCTCAGGTACTTTCCGCTAAGAGAAAGTACCTCAAACTTGAGTAATAAAACCATCGATGACACCTCTGCAGCATAGAGTCTCACATTTGCTCGAAAGTGCTTAAAAAGAGTCCGAGCGCCTGCTGAAAGTTTGGCCAGCGCTAGCTAAAAGAGATTATTTGGCAAGCGCCTGCAGAAAACTCTGTATTCTGCCCCGTTAGCATAGCATTCGACAGTAGAGGAGGTACCGCCCGCTGAAGGTTTGGCCACGCCCCACAATTCTGTTGACCGCCTGCAAGAAAACACGAGTTTGTGGACCGTCTGCTCCCTGCGATTATATGAGTAGATGCCGGCGTTGACCGCTTTTCAAGTCCTTAGCTGAACGCACTATTCAGGAAGCTGGGAAGGTCATCAATGATTCGCAAAGCGCAAAAACTCTCATCTTAAGGAGCGTAGTAAAACATGTAAGTTGTCTCAGGTGCCGATGTTCTGCTATCCTATCAACAGAAATTTCAGCCTACCGTATTTATCATTTTGTTAATCTGGGGTTTACTTGCTGGAATAATGCTAACGCTAACAGTATTGCTTTTTGTAAGTCGCATGCGCCGCATCGAAATGGTAAGTACTTTCTTTGATGTCTTTTTGAGATCGGCACAAGGTAGGATATTGAAAATCCAGACAGCAGCTCTTCTATAATGTGAGATTAGTTGACCTCGAAATACGCTTCATTGAAGCGTTTCTTTCAAAGTTGATAATCTTGGCAATTCAACAGCGGAGGAGTCGAAAGCGGATGTCAGCGCTATTCGTTTTCTTAACAGTTTGCACGCAAAGACCCGTTTGTCCCTCGAGAGTTGTGCGAAGTCACTTTTGGCAGTTTGCTGTGGTACCACTTTTCGTCCCTTTTTCAGGCATACAACTTCGTCTAACTCGAAACGTATAGTCGTAGCTCAGCAACTGAGATGAAAGCTTAGAACATTGGGGTAGTTTTGAACAATGATAGGCAAAAGCACAGTGAAGCATTTATATCGTACAAACCTTGAACAATGAAAAACATGAAATGAACTGATCATTACACGGAAAATAGCCATAAATTCACTCTTATGTGAATTCTGGCTTTCTCGCTGCACACATGTCAGTAAATGCTGCTGTTCTTACAAAAATATTCTTCTACTTCAAAGGGGTTCTGTCAGCTAGTTTCCCCCCGTAAGCTCGCTGGCACTCAAATTTGGGTACTTTGTTCATTTTTGTATACGGCAGGGTTTCTAGATTCATAGGCCAGTTGCTACACATTTTCACTTCTGGCCGAAAACTTCGTTCGTGCACTTATACCAGATTGTTTATCTTATCCGCTGGCGCCGTATGCAAACCCTCAACTCCTTGTATCTGTCGGTGGCTAGGATGAGCTGATGATGTTATGTTTATTTGTGTTTTTTTTGGTGCACCCTGAGTGTGTAATACAAGTAAATAAATAAATAAATAAATAAATAAATCTCACCAGCTACTGTAGCCTGAAACGCAGTTTTATCAAAACTGGTTTTAGCTTGATTCGAAACTCAAACAAAGATGAGTGGTAATGCTACAACTTGTCGTGCTCATTATTTTACACCACCAAAAAGCCCATGACAAAGAACAAATTGAAATTTTGAATGTGAACAGCGACATTTGAGGAGCACCTTGCATATGTACCGCATACAGGGCTCAGCACAGCTGGCACCGGGTCAAGCTGGATATCGTTTTTAGCGCGGAAAGCAAAGGGGATATCGTTTCTACAGGGGCCGAGGCGGAGCTGCCGAAAAAACGCCGCCGGCATGCCACCGGCATGCCATTGGCAAGCTGTACATCAACAAACAAAGGCGTTGTTTTCAGCCAGAACGCAATAGTATGACACCAAATCTGGTGTGTGCATGCGCGTTGGTGGACCGGAACTATGGGCCAAAAATTTATGAAAACTTATGTGAATGAAAGCTGTGCCCAACTTTTTTCTGAATTAGCTGGCACCGTGCCAGCTGGGTGCCAGCTGAGCTGGCACCGACACTTTGCTCACATAAGTTTTCATACTTTTTTACATAAAATATATCTACACTGTAAAAGATTACATACGGAGAAGAAACAGTTCCATGTTCTCTTTTCAGCGTTTTATAGCAATTTGAAAACCGCTCGGTCCGCTCCGTCGTCGAAAAATCGGCTTTTTCTGCTTCTCAAGATGTGATTCAACCACTTAAAAAACTCAGAAAGCTAAAGTTCTTTCACGAAATCAGAAATGCATGAAAACACTACTACATTTTTTTACATAGTATAAAAATGATGACGGGTTTTCAAAACAGGTCAAAAGGGACTTCGTACGAAATTTTCAATATCAAACGGGACTTCGTTTTGAAATTTCCCCGGTGCCAGCTCGTGCCGAGCCCTGACCGCATATCTTATATACTGGGTGTCCCAAAAAGATGTGCCTACTGTTTAACTGCCTACTGTTGATGATTCTCTTGTAATGAAATTTTTCAAGAATCTTTAAACACCTTTCATAAAGCTGGCTTTAACTTAGATTTACAGTATAGAGCAAATCACCGATCGTCCTTTATCACTGTAGAACTTCAAGCATTCGGTGTCACTTACAAACTGCCGTTCCAAGAATCTTCGAAAAAATGTGAAAACTTGCGTAATAGGGCTTTTATGGACGCTGAGTTCGATACTCAATTATGTACAAGATCACGAAGCTTTCTAAACGATGTAACCACACTTTTTAAAAACATTGAAAAATGGTTACCGTTTACCTTGCATCACTTTTTAAAGAAGCATTATGATAAGTTGAGAATTTCCCACATAAAATCAGCAACCCTAATTAGCTTGGTGTGGCACTTTTCGGACTGTTTTGTTTCCTTTCTGAGGCAAAATATGACCTTTCATGGCTCAAAGCTTTCTCCAAAACTTCTACCGTAATGCTACAGTGATGGAGAGCAATCGGTAATTTGTTCCATACACTCAATCTATGTTTAAGCTCTACAAAATGGTACCTAAAGCTTCTTAAAAGACACTCTACAAGAATAGTAAGCACATCTTTTTGGGAGACACCTGTACCTATAAAGCTGAATGTGCGTTGTCTGTAGCTAAAAGAAATATTAATTTTTGAACCGATTCCGGACCAAAGGCACACATACACTTCGGGGCGGGACGTGTGTCATAAGCTACCTTTCCGTCAATCGATATCGATTCTATCGATATTTGCAGTTTCATTTACAAGGCTTGAAATTATCACAGGGGGAGTGAGCTAGTTCACAACAATTTCCGCTTTCTTTCCTCTTGGAAATAGTTTGCAGCTCTGCCTACCTTGTGCCAGGCTATGCCCATTGCGAGCAAATTTAAATCAACAATTTTGATGTCAGAGTGATGTGAGCGGTTTGGTATTATTTTATGCCAGCATATCTTTCTCGGTTTGTGTTTTTACAACTCTCATTGGAATGCTTATATTTCATAGAAGTCTTGAGCAGCTCCGCAATGGTATCGAGCTCTTACCTAAACAGCTATTCATAATAAGAGTTGGTATGTTTTTTGCAAACCAAGGTTCTATACGATAGCAAACCTATGCAGACTCTTCATCCTTCCATTTCAATTTCCTCAAAGCTGCGCAGAATTGTGCATAAAAAACACGATTGTTGTGTATCACTGCACTCTAGTTCCATAACTCACCATTACCAGGGCGGTAAACTGAACTGAGTTTAAGATATAAAGCGCGGTCACATTTTGTGCTGCGGTACTTTACTATGAGCATTTTCTACACACAAAAGAACTATGATTGCTGCAGCATTGAATCGAAATACTATAGATAAAGCAAGTCAAATTTCGACCTTTTTTCATTATTTAGACTTGAGCCAACTTTCAAGCAACCTATCAGAAGCCCTACATTGTTTTTATAAAATGTTGCTAGATAAGTACGAAAGTAAGATCTCAGAAGTAACCAGTGATCTAATCAACGATGTTAAAATGATGGAGACATTGGTAGATATAGAAACTATGACAAAGGTAGATCTGCTCCTTCATGCACTGAAGCAGAGTTTAATGTGGAGATGATCTGTCAGATGAATGTACTTTCCTTGGAAATTACAGAAGGTTTCAAGAATCTCAGCAACGTGGTGAGAACAATTGCTATTGTGGAGCCCCATTTTTCGCAATTAAGCATGAAGATGGCAAGTAGCCATGTTGTTCTGATATTATTACCTAGATGAGAGTTTTAGTCATTAGTGCCTACGTCTACACGTGCACTTAATCAATGGACCACTAGCCTTCACCATACTTCTGTTGTTACCATGGAACAGGTTGGACCATATCATCACATTGCAAAGTAGTACAAGTTATTTGAGATTGTTGCGAGCGGAAACCAAAGCCTTACAATGGTAGAAGAAGCAAATGCATCTATGACAGCATTGATGGATTTGATCAATAAGGTCCTCATATCGTTGATTTTTCGCTGTAGAGCTGGCGGAGCGCTGCGGAATAATGCGAGCAGAAATATAGTCAGACAACCGTTCTGATTTTTTTGCCAAATCTATTTGTAAAGATTTATTCCTTATGAGATGCTAAGTCTTGTCTATTTCATGCTGGGAATTTGAATATAAGTTTGTAAACGTGCTTAAGTGTTAAGCGCTTATAAACAGATTTATCTCAAATGGAATCTTAGGCCGCCACATCAGTAACCGTTGAAACCACCGAGCTGCAAACGAAGCTTACCGATATTTTTATCGAAGAGGTGAGTAGCGCTACAAAAATACTTGTCTCATCGTTTGTCTTGTTAAGAATGATAAACAACGTCTCACTAACCTATTGAGCTATACATTCGTCCTGCCAATTGCTCTGATCGGTCTCTCTTCTTTCGGGCTTACGATGACTGTTGTCAGGTAAAAAAGAGTTTTCATGTAGCAACTTGAATGAAATTCTTCATTCAAGCTGGACTTTCCAAAGTGGTCGATGTCGCTACGATGCTCTTCGTTCAAGACGAGGAGCTCTTTCGATCGTTTTTGCAACAATTCTTGCAGCTGCTGGCTACACTGCGATGCTGATTGGAGCTTTAATCTGTGTAATAGCAGCGTAAGTTGTGTCGTATGGTTTACAAAAGCTGCTTAATTCGTCCAAATTTTGGAAAGCAGAGAAATCGTTGTCAAAGCTTTGCTCGTTGCGTCTTCATCAACAAACGTCAACAAACCATACATACTTTCAAACGTCCTCCTGTCTCTAAATTACATATTATTGAGTATTCACTAAAATGTACATACTTTTTGCAGAAACTTGCATTGGTGTCGGTAATTTCATATAGCGAAAGGAGCGTTGCAGACTTTTTAACACTCAAAAAACCAGTTGACTCCATTCTGAAACATTATTTTTGTATCTCTAGCCATCGAAATTTGCCACGCTTATACGTTAACAAATTTCACAATGTCCCGCATACTATTTTTTCGACATCGAGATACTACTATTCTACTTGCCCTTATCGTATTACAATACTTTGGGAGGTCTTTTGGAAGGCAAAGGGAAAAGACAAGTAAACAGCCAGTCATTATAAACATTCCAAGGTTTAGTAGTTGCTGGGCAGGATTTGATAATTTTGTAACAGAGCTACGCTTTTATACCAATAGATGTCAAAAATATTGGGGCGGGAGAGCGATAATTTTTTTCCAAATGAAGGTGAGCGGCGTTAACCACGCACTCCGAAGACTTTGTTGGGATGCATTCCAAATTTTTGTTAAAGGCACTCCACCCAGATTTTCGGCTTCCAGGTTTTTGTCGTTTCAGGGCCTTCTCATGTCTCTGATTCCGAATATGAAGTCGAGAATGCGCGAAAACCCCGACAATCCCCGTTTCGGAGAACCTACAGGCCGGCTTTCCGGAACGGTAATTGGGGGCGCGCACAAATGGGCGGGCATGGATGAGGGTCCTCGTGCATCTTCGTTATTCCGGAGCAATTTTCTCGCTTCCGAAGCGGCATTTTGCGCTGCGACTTGGACATTGGATTGATAGGGGACCCTGCTATTATGTGCTACCAAAAGCTCAACACCCTCAATTTAGGGTGGACGGTGCCTTTAAAACGTGACCCTGAAACCTTAGAAGAGGTGGCTATCGCCTTCGAAAAATTATTTTTACGAGGCTAATTGAATTTTTCAGATATTTCCGAAAATCAGTTTTATCAGGTTGGAAACTAAGTATTGCAACTCATGCAGTAACTTTCCTCTCTTTTTTCATGGCGCATTCAAATTTTGCCTTGTGTAGCTTATGCCCTTATAAACGGTGCCGTTTTGCCCAATTCTCAATTAATTCAATTACTTCGAAGTCAGAGTTATGGTAGGTATATGGTATGAAGAAACAGAATACATAGTTTGACAGATTTGGCTGAAATTTGGCGTAGGAGGGTTATTCAACATGCTGATCGTCTCAGCAAAGTTTGAAGTTCTGATTTCTTAATCAACAGTTGTCCACAGCAGCCTTGCACACAGCAACTACTTCGACCTTGTGAAGGCCAAATCTCAACATAATTCTAATCTCTTACTGAGCTGAATCAATCAATCTTTAACAGAAATTCATACATGATACCGGTTTATTGCGCATGGTTTAAGCTGCTAACGGCTTCATTTTGGCTTACAACCCCAAAAATTCCCAAAATATACTAGTTTTCAAAAAATGCCTGGAATTTTTCTAATTTGGCGTAGGAGGGTTATGTTGTGTTTGAAATGTGAACGGTTTGTGCGCAGTTGTATCATTACGCACATTACGCTCTACACATTGCCAAAGTCTGAGTGACCCACAACCAAGGAGAGTAAAGTTATGAAAGAAGTTGCAAAATTCAGTTTCCGTCCTTATTTTTCCAAGTATAAACAAGTCACTTGCACATTCTCATACCATAAATTCACTTTCAGAAATTTCGCGACCCGTTCTTCCGGGAAAAGGTCTCCCTGCTCCCCCCCCCCCCTCCCAGACCGCCACTGGCTTAAAAATGACAGGTATCAGCTATAGATGGAATTGCTGGAGGTAGTTTGAGCTTGTTTGGGCAGAGCCAAACAAGCTCAAACTCAAACCGCACGACGTATGCTACGAAAGGAGTAGATAGCCAGAGCCTACATTTTAGCTGACAAGCAGTTTTTCGTATCCTTATTCCTATCACGTGTTGAGCCTCGCCCACGTATATGCACGCAAACGTCAGCCTACTGATTTTTGCCATATTTGATGTCGTCAAGTATTTATAGCTCCTCGATTTTAAATCTTTCATATTTTGAATATTTTGGTGATGACCGAAGCTCTGTGTGCATCTTTCATTTTTCTAGCAGATAAGTCTGGAATTTTGACCAAGGTCATATTATAAAAATTCTGTAAGGTTTTTACACTTTTCTTTTTTATGCCAATATAGCGAACTTGCGCTTTTCCAGGCAGGGAAACTGCATCATGTATCATCATAATATCAAAGCGATTTTAAAATTACGAAGTCTTGACCTCTCCCTGAAAGTCACTTTTTGAACCGAGAACGTCAGCATTGTCAGCCTCACGGTATAAATCTGTAATACAAATATCCGAATAAACTGAGAGAGGTGAAAAAAGGAAAAAACCTGTGGAAATGACTTGACACTTCTGGGCGTTTGAGCTAAGCCATGAAACTAATGAGATCGTTGTCAAAAATTGTTTTTGATCTACTCGACGATTCGTAACTAGAATAATCGTTTACCCATATGTACAAGTATCCTTCAAGCGTATTAACAAAAAGGATAAGTTGGTAAAAGAGACTGGTAAGCGAAAATAGTCCACGTTATTCACGTCACAAAATGTAGGCGTACAAGCAATGGCTTAGATTGCTTACAAGGAAAGATACGTAACCTTTGATTGAATAGACTTGGCTTCAAGAAGGCGGGGTTTTGTGACGTAATTAAGGCAGCTCGCGCCCGCGACGCACCTGCGTTTCTCTCACGCGAGTGCTCTCCGATTACAAGCTAGCCTTAATTGGGTCACGGAGCCCCGTCTTTTCGAAGCCAAGTGAGCTGAATCAGGTAGTTTCCAGTAGCGGAGCCCCCCCCCCCCTCCTCCTCTCCCTTGAGCATTCTCAAAATTTTTGAAAATTACTCGCTTGAGTTATGAAAGCGTGCAAGTGTGTTTGTACTTACATACAACTGAAATGGTTTCGCATCTAAGCCTCGCAGAAAGTTTTTTGTTGTCTTGAACTCGTAAAAATATGGGAAAGCATCCAGAATTTTTTTTCGGGATACGGGCTAACTCCATGCACCTTTATTCGGCAAAAATTTTTTGCCCTCCCCTTTTCCGAACAGAAATTCTGGGACCGCCACTGTTAGCTTCATTAATGTAACAGCTGGGTAATCTTATCCATTAAACTTCAAAGAAACATCAGACATTTGCAGTGCAAGTCTCATCATTGGGTTCACAGCCATAGCAGTCTGTGCCGGATTATTTGCGGACAACAGTTTTCGTCTATTCAAAGTTTGTCAAACTAAATTTTCCAAAGGACTTACCAAGATAATATAGGCTCTACCGAATTATGGCTGCGTTTCCAATCAGGGACATCGAAAAAAATGCTACGCCTTTTAGTGGGTTTTTTGATTCGTGAGGCTTTAAATTCTAAAAGCTACATTTAGTGATACCTTCTACAGCTGCAGAAACGGAACCACAATTTTCTTGTCGCTCAATTTCTCACAGACAGCTGACGAGCTAGTAGACGTAAGTTTCGTTGCATAGTTACTAGAGGAGCATTGCTTTCAATGAAGAACGTGGGTAAGCAAAATAAAACACTGTTTTTAACCGTTTTTCGACAAATTCAGTATATCGCCCTTCAAAGAAAAATCAATACAATAGCATAAACTTCTTGTTTATAAGCCCTTTCAAGACAGTTTAGAAGCGGGATCATATGTTGGCATCAACTTAGCACATCAAGCTGCTGGCAACTTCCCATTACTGCTGACTTATACACTTATTTGGTACAAATAAAGACCGAATTTTGTTTGATAATCAATCACCATTTGAGAACTTCTTTCTTAGCCATCTAGATGTAGTGTTTACGATCACAAAATGATAGGTGATAATAAAAAGAGCCAACACGAAAGAGGCTCCTAATCGATTGCAAACTGAGAACTACCGTAATTATCTGGTAACCTTTCTTTGAGTGATATTTCATATAAAACACAATATCTATAGCACAGCGGCTACGTGTGCTGCTCATGCTGTTCATTCGGGTTCGGCTTCGGCAGGGTCCAGTACGAGGGTGGCAGATGAACATTGGTGAAACAACTTCGCCTTTGTCACTATCGATTTCTACAATTCCCCCACTTCATCCCGCCAGCTACGTCGGTGTTCGATTGAAGCGCGCTTCTTTCCTCTACAAAACCGGCGTCGTTCCTATTTCAGATCCTAACAAGGAGGAGAGGAGGAAATCTGGAACCAAAATGTTATACACCAAACGTTAGGTGTAGAACACATTCCTAACGAGGAGGAAAGGAGGAATTCTGTGACCAAAATGTTATATTCTGAACGTTAGGTGTAGAACACATTTATAAGGTGGGCATTAAGTGAGCGACCACTTAATTTGGAAAAAAATTTAAGCACATTCTTATTCATGTAAGTTTTTCATGACTTTCCATGCTTTTTTCCTTAATCCCACGGCGCTTACACAGACCACATTTTGTGCCATATTGTCATCTGTGTGGTTGCAAACATGCCATTTCCTCATTTTTTGGAAAAATCTCAGAAAAAAGCTTGCCACAACTTTCAGTCAGTTAATTTTTATATGAAACTACGCAGTTAACTCTTACAGGTCAGTGTCCATGTGTCTACCAAGTTTCGTAGCATATCATTATCGTAGCACCTGTGCTTTGAAACTAACCATTTCAATTCACATCCTTACTCGGCATCGATGAGATATCAAACAAAGCTTGGTACACATCCATTCACATAAGTTTTTCTAATTTTACATATCTTTTCCCCACTAGCCTATGCGTTCATTTAAGCAATGGTGCCATATTATTACGCTATATCGAGGACCAATCATCTATGCTGTTCCAATTTGCGTAGCGACTCGCGCGTGCTGCAATCAGCGACGGCGCGCGACAAATGCAATCTGTGGAAAAGAGCTCAGGTGTTGCTTGTCATCTGGACTACAGATTTTTTCCGAGGTGTCTTTTGCCGGGCCCGGCAAACGATATCCCTTTTGCTTTTTCCAGTCGAAACAATTCCCAGCATGTCATTATCCACCTCGTGCCAGGCCCTGAGCGTCAGACGAGCGCGCAGCTTTTCTGGCGCTCAGTACGCGATTATGCCTCGCATGTGAATTGTTTTGGAACGGTAGCGACAGCGTCTTTTTTACGTTGTGACGACTTGTGAGGTTTACTAACCTTTATTGACCTAGTGCATACAAACTTTCTAAGGGGTCCTAGGGGGTTGTCTAGTATGAGTGGATTTCTAACCTTGATAAAAGGAATTAAGTGGATAAGAAGACAACGTTTATTCTAACGTCAGTAATAATAAGAACGCCTTAGGGTCAACACGGAAAAAGATAAAACAGAAATACTACACAATCAGATTGAAAAACCCTGGTTTAGCTGGTTATTCACGGTTAGATTTTACCAGTCGGCGGCCTTGCTTACTGGACTGAGTTTTCCTTCTAAAAAGCATTTTCTACTCCCGCAAGCCTCATCTGCTCGCAGATTTTCTTTCTCTGAACCGACAGACGTTTTTCCGTCTTGATAAAACTCCGGCAACTCGTCTTATTGGGTACCGCATGTAAAAGTTCTACTTTAAGGGGCATGCGTGCAGTCTCTGCAGATAGATAAAGATGAAAATTTTGCAAAAAGGTTCAAGGAGAATGTCGAAAATCAATTAGTAGAGACATTTCTGACCGCTGAGGGGTGATCGATATCTCACTCTTCGTCATATTCTGACGTATGCTGTGCTGCTGTGCTTCTTCATTCATTCCGAGCACGACCTATCAGTCGATCAAGTTGGCCCGGCGCTCATGTAACAAGATGCTATTTAGTGGTATGGTATTTTCCAACTTCAATTGCATGAACCACACGGATCAAAAGTTAACGTTTATCTTAACATCAGCAACAGCGGCCTTAGAAACATGCCAAACAACAAAACTAAGCAAAAACAAAGAGAAGTACTGAGAAAACAGAGGTAAAAGCTCTGATCTGACCAGCCAGTTGCGGTTGAGTATCAGCAATTCTCGGTCATTTACATGGGATGAGGAGGTAATTCAGCTTCTTCGACTTCAACGAGGCTCTTTTGCTCGCGGTTTCCCTTTTTCTACACCTGTTCTACCCTGCTGAAACGGTCAAATCTCCTCCTCTTCTCGCTTATTTTGTATTAATTCCCCTAATCGTACTTTCCAGCATCTTGTGAATACATCATCCCATTTGCTTCCCCCCACCCACTCAGATAATCGCCGAGGGCAGGCGGCCATGCGATTTATGGGCGGGCGGACACCATAAAAAAAGTTCGCTGATTTCTTGTGGTCCGCTTGCACATATTTGGAAGAATTTTAGCGAAATTTTAGACGAATGTTTGAAACAATCGCGGTTTACTTATAGATTAGCTGTGGCGCAGTAGCCGCATTCTCGCGGACTTTCCGCGAGATTATGCAAAATTTTCGAGGGCGCGCGGTTGTTTGTGGAGGACCGCGCAGCCCCCAGGTACTTTCCGCTGAGAGAAAGTACCTCAAACTTGAGTAATTAAACCATTGATGACACCTCTGCCATGTAGAGTCTCACCTTTGCTCGGCGTACGCCCGAAACTGCTTAAAAACCGTCCGAGCGCCAGCTGAAAATTTGACCAGCGCTCGCTGAAAGAGAATATTTGACGAGCGCCTGCAGAAAATTTTGTGTTACTGCCCGCTGGCAAAACATTAGACAATAAAGGAAGTACCGCTCGCTGGAGGTTTGGCCACGCCCCAAAATTCTGCCGACCGCCTGCAGAAAAGAGCGAGTTTGCGGATCGCCTGCCCCCGGCGATTATCTGAGCACCCAAAGAACATTTCAACGTGTTATTTGCCATACTCGCGCTGAGTCCTGGCTTACAGTGACTTATGGCTACGACTGCAGTTTTTCAAATTTTTTGAAAAATGGTTCGAAATTCGGTACAATACAGATCAAAATGTGCTTACCCTCTGTTTCATTGGGAGTGGCGGGTGGAGGGAGAAGCTTCGATCGCTAGTCTATCCTAAGAGATGATTAGAGAGCATGCGCAAGAGAGGTGCAGCGCAGGGCCACATCCACGACCCGCCGCTTCCGATGATAGAGGGTAATACTAGAGATGAGTTTACTACTATGTTCCTACTATGTATCATACTTATGCTTTGAATGGGTTTGCAAAGACTTCAATATAATGCTAAATTTCTAGCGTAATGCCGAACAAAAAAAGAGTGATCGTCGTTTTATACTATAACATTCTGAGTTGAAACAGCTGCAGGCTGAGGTAGCCGAGCCTGCTAGTAGCAGAGCAGAACAAATTTGAATGCAAATGGAGGTTTGAAATTCGCTTTTCAGAAATACTTGACCGCAAGACCGCATGTCATGGCAGAGCATATAGAAAACTATGATGTAACTTTGGAAATTATTAACATTAGAAAACACATGGACAGTCTTCATGTAAGCCAATTCTTTCCCTGTCAAGCTGTTAATATCAGCTTTTAGAATTTACTTGCTGAAGCAAAACAAACTTTTGAAACGGCTCCTAAAAGGAAAGACGTTAAAAGACTTTGTAAGTTATAGGCTTTACTGGTTGGCAAAATTTTTGAAACTATGCCAATAATTGAATTTCTTTCTGCATTTTAGTGGCACAGTTGGAAGCAAATATCAACAGTACGCTTCTTCGTGTTCGCACTTTTCAACAGATATTGAGTAATATGATAAGCATGGTATGGAATCTTGATATTTTGTCACAAATATCCTAGATCTTAATCACTACTCTTATTTTGAATGAAGCGTCAGATGAATTGAAATATGGAGCGGCACACCATTACAGCACAGTTGAGCTAAAGTAACTTTAGACGCTGAAGTTAACCATCAGTTGAGCTATCGTTCTTCGAAGTCTGCGCCTTCTCAATGAAATAATGAGTTCAACATTTTGAAAGCTGACCAAGATTAACCATTGTGTTTCTATTGGGAAGCAATACCCTTTTGACGTCATTTCTGCGAACTGGATTGCATTGCTAAGCTCGGGAACATAAGCGGGAATGGACTCAACTTACGAATTCCATTTGAGAAAGTCTGTTTGATTATCCGAGCTGAGAATATGCTAAGGTTGACGGTGTTTCGCAAATTTTAGAAAAGAGAATGCCTTGTTTTAGTGTATCAAAATCTTGTATTGGTAAGAATGGTAAAACGTCTAAAACATCGACGAAATACAATACCACCCGTAATTTGTGAAAAAAAATGGCGGCGGCACTTAACTTACGCGGCCCCTCAACGTTTGCCGCTTACCGGATCTCGTCCCCCTCCCCCTCCCCCTCCCCCCATCTTTACGAAAATTCCTGTGATCGCTGCAGGCATCCGTTAGACTGTCAGACAACGAATTGAATCACATTAACACGTTTCGGACCGGTGCTGCACATGGTGCAGCACGCTGCTTTGGAAGATCTTTTTGACGTTTACAGGAAGTTTTTCTTTAGTCCACGGTTATCAAATCAAAGGCCTGAGCTTTTACTTTTCGAATGACTCAGTGGAGTTGTGCCGCTGAAAATCGAACAACTTGCAACGAAGTGCGGCAACGTGAACAACACGTGCGACGTCGCAACTTCTCTTTGCTTCAATATCAAAGAGAAAAACCGTAGTTTTAATACTGATGTGTACAGTGTACAACATAGATACTTTTGGACACTATTAGAAACTGAGCCCTTGTTCCTATCATTCAGGAAAGCACAGAAATCCTTCTCAAGCGACAAAATTCAAGCACTTCAAATTCACTCAGAACTTCGAGTATGGAACTTATTTGACGAGCTGTTTACAGATGTAGCACACAGTCTACGAAATAAGGTCCCTTTGTTGGCTAATGGCTGAAAAGCACTCTTTTTCGCCGCGCGCGATTTCGCGGTCCGAAACGAAGCGAGGCTTTACGCAAGCCTTACGTGTGGTGGTGGTAGGGGCGGTCACACGTCATTTTTGTGCAGAAATCGTCGGGCCAGCCGCGCTTGCGAGAAACTTTGCTGCAAAGACTCGAAAATGACTTTATCTACTGCTTTTCTCTTAGACAGCATCCATATTTCGCGAATGTTTTAGACATTTTATGGAACCAATACAAAACTTTGGGGGAAAAAAGGAGCTTTCTTTTCGACTCTTGACTGCTCAAATTGGTTAACTGCTTGACATCGTCAAGATGTCAAGCTGTCGACCGGATGAAACATTTCAGACTGCTTTTCTCCCAAAACCACCCGTTTATGGAACCAATACAAAATTTTGCCACAGTAAAAACAAAAAATCCTTTTCGACTGCTTGACTGCTCAAATTAATCGACTGCTTGACTGCTTGAGATCGTCCAGATGAATGAAACTAGCACTTTTCATAAATGTCAGACTGCTTTTCTTCCAAAACCGCACCCATACAATACCACCCGTAATTTGCGAAAAAAAATGGCGGCGGCACTTAACTTACGCGGCGCCGCCGAAGTTAGGTGACTTTTGCCGCGTCGCGCGGCAAAAGTCAGCGGAAAAGCGGCCAAAGTCACCTAACTTTGTCGCGCAACGCCTAACTTTTTATAAAAAAAGACCTTATCTTGATTCAAAATTCATGAATTCTATATATAAGAGTACCATTCAACTCAGCTCGGCGAGGCGCATCTTCCAGTATACGGATGTGCCTAGTTGTGGGATATAAGTTTCTTTCCTGGAATTTTAGTGTAAATGGACCATTCAGTGTGCTTATTCCAGAGGCTACGTACAAATTCTATTGAGCACAGCAGAAATAGGGCAGGTATAGTTTAAGAGCTCATTCTGCATGGATATATGTGAAACTGGGCAGCTCATTCTGCATGGATATGTGTGAAAGTGGGCTTTTCTCGGCGAAGTATGACGGGTCCCAAAATGCAAGAAGACAAAGGGAAATGGTTGGAAATCGCATGAGAAGCACATATCGCAGAATGCCGCGCGTGCTGTGCAATGTACAATACCACTCACAGAGGGAATTGCGCGAAATTCCAGAAATTTCGCGATTCCGGATTATCGCAAATTATGCAGCGCCATAACTTCCTTCGGAATTAATATATTCTAAATTCGAAAGCAGCACTGTGTTCATCTCGTCAAGGCGAATCTTTCTACATACGTCATGTCATCTATATCTTGTTTTCAGTTTTCTCAAATTGTTCTGAGGAGGTCCCTTTGCAAGTATGTAACGCAGCGCCTATCCAACTTGAAAGCTTCCAGTAAGCACCATTCGATAGTGCTCTTCCTGTACATTATAGTGCGCTAGGAAGCTGCCGCAGACTTCTTTTCAAAAGAGAAAAAAGCGTTGGTAAATTCTGGAAAAATCACTCGTTTCCAGATTCTACTCGTCGTAACTTTCTTTGGAGTGGATATTTTCTGAATCCGAAAAATGCATTGTGCTCAGCTCATCAAGGCAAATCTTTCGGTATGCAGAATGTCCTTGATATCTCGATTTCAGTATTCTCAAAACTTTCTGCGGACGTCTCTTCGCAAAGGTGTGAAGCAGCGCGTATTGCCCCCAGTACATTCAGAAAGAAATTTTCGATAGTACATCTTTTGTAGATTATGGAGCGCTAGAAAGTAGCCGCACACTCCTTTCCAAAGGAGTTAAAAGGGCTGGTGAATTCTGGAAAAATCATGTCCTTCTAAATTTTTCTCAACGTAACTCTAAAATATGAAGCTCTCTTGCTAAGCAGATGTGATTTTCGTAACCAGCAGGTCGGATAACCCTTAAGCGCAAGTTTTCCAAGATGTTCAAGTAATTTCATTTTTTCTCGTTTTACGCTCTGAAGCTGGCCGATGGATTTTGGTCAAAATGTTCATGCTCTTAAATTGTAAGGAAACTTCGCTTATAGAGGTTTTCGAACACGCTCTTTACGAAAATCGTGGTCTTTGAGGATTACAGGGTCTTTTTGGTGAGATACGGTGAGGTGACTGTAACTGCATCACGAAAGTGCGTAAATTGGCCCCCACTTCCCGCGTATCTGTCAGCAACCTTGCCTGCTTGCTTTTCTCAGTCAAAGTTACTAGGAACTGCGCTACCGAATGGTGCATGAATCAGGCTCCAGTCTGTAAAAATCACCGAGTTACGAGCCTATGAAAACACGTCCTCATGAATTTTGCCCAAAATCTAAAGATCGCAAATCTCGTCGAAATTCCACCGTGAGCGCTTGTATGACACTCGCATTGCGGATATTGTGTTCGCTTCGCCCAAAAACTCCCACTGTATTGAATATGGTACTTGCATATGCTTCAGCTGCTCAGTTGAATATCAGAGCTATTTCAGTGGCTAGAACTCAAACTACTAAATCTAACACAATAAGATCCATTAAGGACGCGAAAGATTTTGATCAGCGTGTTGTACAAGCGCTCACGGTGGAATTTCGACGAGATTTGCGATCTTTAGATTTTGGGCAAAATTCATGAGGACGTGTTTTCATAGGCTCGTAACTCGGTGATTTTTACAGACTGGAGCCTGATTCATGCACAGTACTCTGCGTTGATACCACTGCTT